TGGTTTTCACTAAAGTAGTAATCTTTACAGCAGTAGTCCTGCACATAACGTCCGAGTTTCCTCCTATATTAAAGGGCAAGTTCACACGGAAATGAACCAATTTTTCTTGTACTTTTTCCACATTAAAAGTGTTAACATAGAAGTGTCATAGACAAAAATATAAAAACATCATATTTAATTAACATATTTTTTGCATTAAAACGATTTATATTTTTCACATTTACCAAGTGTTCTATTTACATAACAAAAACACCATGGCTTATGCCCCTTGCAATATGACGTCATTGGTGCCAATTGATAAACATTATGACGTCATGATGCTTTGTTAGAGCCGCTTCACGTGGTGTAGGTACAGTTTTGTGATCCTAGCCTCTCAGATGCCAGCCAGAATTGTGTTATGCTGAGTCACCACTGCGCCGGAGTGTGTCGTAGACCATGTTGTTTTACCGCAAACTGGTCCTTGATATCTTTTGCGTTGAGAATAGACAGGGACCCAGTTGAATTGGCACCAATTACGTCATAATCTAAGGGGGATAACTCAGGCCTATTTCGCTCGTAAAACGAAGGCCTCATAACGACATATCATTTTAACACTATTGTGAGCTTCCTACTTTCACTGTGAAAAAAAATGAGCGTATATTTCAAACACAGATACTAACTAATTCTAAAATTGCGTTTTGTTTAGAAAAAGAAAGAAAGTGATTTTTGCGTGTACACTTCCCCTTTAAGCTGACTTACCGTTATGTCACTATAACTCATATCGACTATCCCAGAGGGTGAGTGAGTGAGTATCGTTTTACGCCGCTTTTATGCCAGCAATATCACGGAGGGGGACACCAGAAATGAGCTTCACACATTATCCCCAAGACGGGAATCAAACCCGGATTTACCCACAAGACTACCTCCCCTATCCCCGTGAAGATCCGGGGTAGAATAGGTCTTCAGCAACCCAAACGCCGCACTCAGCTATATTCCAGCCATATAACATATTTATAACGGTCAATAAGAAATCGAGTCTGGACCGGACAATCCAGTGAATAATATCATGAGCATCGATCCACGCAATTGGGATACGATGACATGCATCAACCAAGTCAGCGTGCCTGACCACCCGATCCCGTTAGTTGCCTCCTACGACAAGCATAGTCACCTTTTACTGCAAACATCGTGGATTCGATTCTGATATTCAGTCTTATGATGATCAATGCCGTATCACGATTCTACCTGAGCTATGGTTTTCACTAAAGTAGTAATCTTCTTACGACAAGCATAGTCGCCTTTTACTGCAAGCATGGGTTTCTGAAGACCTATTCTACCCCGGATCTTCACGGGCCCACAATGTAAGACATAACAGTGATTCGAACTTAAGAATGTCTGCAGGTTACCACATAAGCGACACTCATATTGGCATATTTCATCGAATAACGTTACGGACTGTGCACAAAAGACGAGCTTAGTGCAGGATATACTTGGGGGCAATCAGGAATTCGAACCCATGACCAATATATAATGGAACAGCTACTCGTCTCAGCTCAGCACTTTTGTGGACTGGGCCATCCATTATATGTCTCATTAACGAATTTGGAATATTTAATCAATGTATTAATGTTTCTATAATTTATTGACTTGATGAGTTTGACAAGCATTTACCAGTAGCGTGACTCGCATTTTATCATTTATGGTGGGCAGATAGTACACACTGTTGGCTTCGTGAAATTGGATGTATATTTTACTGCTGCTTCATAATCTGTACCTGAGCAATTGTTGACAAGTGAGTGAGTGAGTTGAGTTTAACGCGACTTTTTAACAGTATTTCCGTTATATCACGTTGTGGGAGGAAAGCCCGAAGTGATGCAGGTCTCAGACGTTTAGCACTTCGTGGAAACCCACGAGCACGGGAATGGTGCAGACAAACCTAGAAACATAATCGGGGCGAACCGGGATTCGAACCCACAATCATAGGTTTCTGGTGTGCCCAAAGGTATGCAACTGTTCACAGTGAATCGCGGCGCCTTAAACCACTGGGCCACCCGTGCCCCCTGTTGACAAGTGTCAAACCGAACTACAAACACATGAGAATGCTTTATCTACCGTATTATGATACCATATTCTATCCGTATTTAAATGATAGATGGTTTTTTTTCTATGGCAAACCCTCGTTGCTATTCAAACTATAATTGTGTGAATAATTTAGCAGATACATTCACTGTGAATACACAGGTATTAGTCAAATTCAAATGTGGATTGTTGTATGTGAGGTGAAATGGGGTTAACGCAATCTAATTAAAATCAGATGTTAGTTCTCGCTACCGCTAAACAAAGCTCTGATGACACCTCATTACAGGTCACGTCAGACCGACCTTGAGCGAACTTTGACCGATGAATGGAATGACTGATAAGAAGTCGATATTAGCCAATCAGATGGCAGCTTTCTCGTGCTTTACGGCACTAATTTCAAATTGGCGACTACGCTTCAAAACATATTTTGACAAATTCTCGATTAAAAAATTTAAACCTGAACAAAAGAACATTCTGGAATGGCTAATAGATCGTTCGGAATACTCCATGTTAAAGTTTTCGAGGTTGCGTCATTAGAAATCACATTCCGACTGTCACTTTCATGATCTGGTAAGCGACGCTCTGATTGGTCGGATAAAAGGTCGTTCTGACATGACCCCTAATGGGATGCCCTCAGATCTTTGTTTAGCGGTTGCGAGAAATAAGATCCGATTTTAATGAGATTGGAGTTAACGTCGCGTCCAAGATTATTGCACTTATATAGCAACATGCATGCACGTGTGTGTATGGCTGCTTGTACTAGTCCGGACTGATGCCGATTTATAGTGCTAGCTCACGGAGATACCATGCCGCAGTTTAACATGAATACCCCACTCAGACACGGCATACTGACTTCGTGCCGACCAGTCCTTGTTTTAGCCCCTTAATGCTGAGCGCCAGACAGGGTAACAACAAGTACCATCTTTCAACGTGGCCGGAACCCCCGACCTTCCGCTCACCAGGCGGACGCTCTATCACGAGACCACGGATGCGGTTGATTGTTGTATGTACGACAGAAATATAAGCACATATATATTGTGTCCAGCGTCTTGCAGTTATCCCCAAATAAATAGGTGGTCAGAGTTTCTGGTAGTCTGTATGTTTACAGCATAAACTGCCTTACGGAAGAAGTTAGATTAACAGCTAGTCTCTGAAATGAACATACAGTACAGAAAAAAATAGTTGTTAAATTATCTTAATAAAACTTTAATAAAAAGGAGCCCAGAGTCTCTCTTCATTTTCATCCTGATACTGCAGAAATCTAGACTTGCCAAACATTCTATCTTTTGCGCAAACATTCAAACAAAGCAAAAAACAAAACATGATTCCGAGCTGTTTCATTTATTGTATCTGTGCATTGGCCACAAACCCCAAGACATTGAATGGGGTTCCCTCATCAGGTCGACAGGAAGTGGACCTCAGGTTGAACTCCACAGCATGTTGACCTTAGTTTGATAATAGTCCGGTAGATAGGAAGACAGTGGATAGGAAGACATTCACAAACAGACCAAGGGAGCAAACTCTTCCGCCACAGTTTCTAATTACCTCCCTTTGTTCACTGTTGGTGATCTTTCCTGTGCTTCTGCACAAAATCAAAATCAGGGAGAGGGGGGCATGAAATGAACGTGGAGTTATAAGTTATAAGGGCTTGTGTACTAAATCATAAAACATACATTTTGGTGTAAAATAAGCAATGTAATATACCATTAGGTCTTTCTGTTTGGTAAAATTTGTGTATAGATGATCCTCTTCTGGTGTAAATTTCTCAAATATGCATTATGTTTTAAGTAACCTGTCTTTCGAAAAATGACTATTTTCTTTAACAATTACGGAGTTTGAATAATTCTAGCTGTATCTTTGCATGGCAGTCCTTACTTTTCTGGGATTTCTTGTTTGTTTTAGCATCTTCTTGTGGCTTTTGCTAATCTCACCATCTATTTTCCTTTTGCAGTGACAGCACACCCAAGACTTAGTCGAAGCTTCGATATTGGCTTAGCCGGACTCTTGCAGTTTACACTGTGGACAGCACTGGGGCTGTGCCTCCAGTTATGAGCAATGGTTGTATCACAAGGTAATGACTGGCGCATTGCCTTGTTTGTTGCTTCACACTTTTGACAACAGAGATGGAAATGGGTTGAGACTAAAGACGTTTTTCAAAATTTGAAAATTAACATTGTGACTAATTTTGAGGTTTTTATTCAAATATTTACCTTACAATAACCAAGTTTGCGCACCAGAAACCTATGATTGTGGGATCTAATCCTGACTCGCCCCGATTATGTTACTAGGTTTGTCAGCACCATACCCGTGCTCGTGGGTTTCACCGAAGTGGTAAACGTCCGAGACCTGTATCACTTCAGGCTTTCCTCCCACATTAAGCTGACACGCCGCGATATAACTGGAATACTGTTAAAAGCGGCGTTAAACCCAACTCACTCACTCCCCCACTACACCCTTCTGCATTTCGTGTGATCCCCCATGTCAAAGAACAAGTGTCATCAGGAGATGTCATAATCCCCTGGTCTAATGGAACTCAGAAATGGAGTTTGGCTACTTTTACTCCACTTTTGTCTCATTGCCATTGGATCCCTTCCGTTCAGTGAAGAAAATATGCTCAGTATTTGTCAATATCCCAAATCATCAAAAAGGCACCAGACCACCACAAGACTGGCTACAGTCAAGTCTCGTTAATCCGACACTTGTTAATCCGATATAATCATATGCATCAATCATGTTGGATTAGTTAGTTAGTTAGTTTGTTGTTTAACGCCGCACTCAGTAATATTCCAGCTATATGACGGCGGTCTGTAAATAATCGAGTCTGGACCAGACAATCCAGTGATTGATATCATGAGCATCGATCTACGCAATTGGGATCGATGACATGCATCAACCAAGTCAGCGAGCCTGATCACCCGATCCCGTTAGTTGCCTTTTACGACAAGCATGGGTTGCTGAAGACCTATTCTATCCGCCCCCCCCACCCCCAAAAAAACACTGGTTAATGATAGTTACATCGAATATTCTACCCCGGGATCTTCACGGGTATCATTTTGGATTAACGGTACTTGACTGTACATGGGTTACTGGTGTGGCTTGCTGAAAAGAGGGTTTCCCCAACACCTGAACCAATGGATAATTGCACACTCCATGAGTTGATAAGCTTACATTATTTAAGTCTGCTCCCCTGTATCTATTTATTTCTGTCACCTCCAGCCTCCTGGCTTTCTTGTCCTTCAAATTCTCAGATTTAATCCTGTCACAAACTCTGTTTGCAGCTTTCTGCATGCCTGAATGAGAGGACTGGGAAATATCAGCACACGTGCACATGAGACGGAGGCCAATCTGGAGTCCAGTGTTTGCATGGAGGATTGACGTCCCCTTCTCGCATCACTTCCCTGTTACCTCCTTTTACAGTTGCTGGTACTTCAACAGGTAGGTACAGTCAGTGCATTTAACTCTCTCTGTCCTGTTAGGCCCCACTGCTTTGTTATCTATGTCCATCACAAGGCCTCCCTTACACACTGGTGTCTCGGTGTGCTCACGGAATACCTCGTTGTACATTTTGTCAGTTTCCCAAACAAGGAACAAGTGGTAAACATCAGCAGCAGCCCTGTAGATTAAAAGAGAAAAAAAAACATTCACTACCTGGGAATCTTCTAAATGAACCTTTAAAGAAGTGTTTGGCATTTCTGAATTATCTCCACTGTTGGGTCAAATGCATTTGGTATTTCTCCCCCTTTTATCTGTTAGTCATGGTGTAAAAACACTGTTTTTATATGCTATTGAAAAATGTTCATACATGGTTGTGAATTTGACAACTTGCTTTACCTAATCACTGAAAATTGAGGGAGTGAGTGAGAGTTAATATTTAACGTCACCCAATAAAATTTAAAGTTTATGAAGTGGCCTCCTTCTAAGAGCAGGTTAAGTCAACATATTGCAGATTTTAATACTTTTGGGCATACATAAACACAAATGCTTGACCAAAATGAAATTTGAAAAACAGAAAACAGAAAAACGACATGCAAAATCGCCCCCCAAATGAAACATTTCTACAGTAATGGGCCGATACCCAGTCTGCCTGCTTCTGCCTCTGCCTGATTCTGTAATAATGTCCGCTCATTCATTTGATAACGTATCCACAATCTATGTCACCTTAATAACAACACTGATGATACCTTCAGTTTTTTCAGAGGATTAAAACCTGACAGGCATTTATTGCAGCTTGTGTTTTATTGTTAGTATATATAAACAAAACGATAGTTATCAATTATCTGTTGTTTCAATTATTCACAATGTCAAAGGTCATTTCACACATACAAAAATGTATGCAATGTTGTTATTTACATAGGATTATCAGAACAGCAGAAACAGTATATGTATAACCGCAGAGAACCACAAGATAATTAAATCCGGCAAATCTATCAGCCAATGAAAACAGTTGTCACCAGGAGCTTTCGTCCACGCACACAAATAGTTTTGATTTGGAAGCCGATTACCGAGTGTGTGATTTCAGCACTTTTACTTATACATTTAAAATACTTTCTTCTCATATAATGAATTTTTCTCTCTTAGAAATAGACTAAACGTATTTAGGAAAATTAATATTTGCAAAAAAATTCAATTCTGGTTTTCACTTGACTTGCCCTTTAAAAAGACAAATACTTGGATTTTGGAAGCTTAGCCACCAACATCATGTAGCAGTGATCAAGTGATTCTGCCTCAAGTATTTCTGCCTCAAGTAAGTCTGCTCCAAAGGAATAAATACATTGAAATGTTATTACCTTACACTTTTTTGTCTTTGTGAACTCTCATTCCTCTTCCTCAGCCCCAGCAAGCGGCACGGCTCACTTGTAAGTGTTTGAACTTGCTGGACTCCAGTCACCCCTGCACAGCACACTTTCTCATGAAGCTCTGTGGTCAACCTGAAACTTTTGGGCACTTAAAAGTTAAAAACAAAATATACATATATATATATATATATATATATATATATATATATATATATCTTACTATAGAACACTATGGCTTTGTGTAGTGAGTGATTGTGTGAGTGTGAGTGAGTGAGTGAGTGTGTGAGTGAGTGAGTTGGGTTTAACGCCGCTTTTAACAGTATTCCAGTTATATCATGGCATGTCAGCATAATGTTGGAGGAAGGCCGGAAGTGATGCAGGTCTCAGATGTTTACCACTTCAGTGAAACCCACGAGCAAGGGTATGGTGCTGACAAACCTAGAAACATAATCGAGCAAACTGGGATTCGAATGCACAATCATAGGTTTCTGGCCCAAAGGACGCAACTCTGCACAGCGAATCATGGCGCCTTAGACGACTGGGCCACCCGTGCTTTGTGTAAGTGTTAGTATACATGTACATTCAAGGTTACACACAACCGAATGTTTTCCCATAGACTTCTACAGTAACGTAATATTCATGTTCTTTTTAAACAAATAGGCATTCAACTGGCCTTAAAGCTGCAATAAAATCACATTAATGGCCAGCTTAATAGCCAGTTCCATTTCTGAAGTACAGGAAGCTAAACAGACTACTCCTAGTTCGGCACCAAATGCCACGTGCATGTAGTCACATTCAGCACAAGTCATCATGTTTAAAAAGATGTTGAAAAAGAGAGGTCAGTTTTAATTACTGGATGAGTGCACTAAAAAACATAAAAAATCTTACACAATTTCATCCAATCACAACTGTCAGGTTTCTCACTGAACACTATCAGTCCTTTTCTGATTTGGTGAGGTCGTACCTGTCGACAAATTTGAAAACATCTGTACGAGGCAAAAATGTGATTATGTACTCTTCATATGCGAATCATCATCAAAATATGTAATAAAGATTAATATTTTTCAGTCAGTCAGAGAGGTTTTATGCCACTTACAGCAATATTCCAGCAATATCACAGTGGGGGACACCAAAAATGGGCTTCACACATTGTACCCATGTGGGAATCAAATCCAGATCTTCGGCATGACGAGTGAACGCTTTAACCACTAGGCTACCCCACAATCACAAAGATTTTTGACATAAAAAGGGTACAAATTTTGACAACAAAATAAAATTCAAACTTATTCCTTTCCTACTCTTTATTTATGAAGTTGGTTGTTTTGTTGTTTAACGCCGCACTCTGCAATATTCCAGCTACATGACGGCGGTCTGTGAGGACTCGTACCTGGGCCTTCAGCATGACGAGCAAACGATTTAACCACTAAGCTTCTCCACTCCCATGAGACCATTACATACACAATGAGGCTTTAAAGGAGCACTGTCAGAAATTTCCAATGTGAGATGTAGATCTTATAATGGACCGTGATAGAGACAAAATCGGTCTTAAATGGACTCTGTTTGTTTGTTTGTTGTTTAAGGCTTCACTCAGCAATTACAGGTGTGTGACGGCGGTCTGTAAATAATCGAGGCTGGACCAGACAATCCAGTGATTGATATCATGAGCATCGATCCACACAATTGGGATCAATGACATGCATCAACCAAGTCAGTGAATCTGACCACCCGATCCCGTCAGTCGCCTCTAAGGACAAGCAAAGTAGCCTTTTATGACAAGCATGTGTTGCTGAAGACCTATTCTACCCGGATCTTCTCAGGTCTTTCTTATGAAGTACGAAATAAGATTGACAGTATTCGATAGAAGAACTTCATTAAATATACATGGCTTTTAGTGAGTGAGTATGGTTTTAGGCCATTTTTAGCAATATTCCAGCAATATCATGGCAGGGGACACAAGAAATTAGCTTCACACATTGTACCCATGTGGGGAATTGAAACCAGATCTTCGGCGTGACGAGCGATCACTATAACTTCTAGATTACAAACATACTTCATTATACAACAATATTACACGCGGTTAGGCTTGTTTAAATCACAATAGCATGTACATTCGACAATAATGTAGTTGTTGTTTTGTTGTTTAACGCCGCACTCAGAAATATTCCAGCTATATGACGGCGGTCTGTAAAGAAACGAGTCTGAACCAGACAATCCAGTGATTGATATCATGACCATCGATCCACGCAATTGGGACCAATGACATGCATCAGCCAAGTCACAAGCCTGACCACAAGCATAGTCGCCTGGCGATAATGTCAGTTACAGCACAAACTTTGAAATTACATAAAATACATAATAGTGATATGTGCAAAAACAAAACCTTAACTGCATTACATAAAGAAGAAGCTTAACATCTCATATACCTTTCACAATAACTTTAGGCCAGAAGAATATTTACGAACAAAATTTGAATTTTAGGCCATATTTCAACAAGAGTTTGCCAATAACGTGGCTATATCCCCCCGGCCCTGTTGCAGAATTTATGACATAATTAAATCTAAACAAACCCTAACCTTTTGTAACCGAGGTGGAACTTGTCATGGAAATTGTAAAAAAAAGAAGATTTTGGAACCCAAGTCCATCTTGCTGCCATGGAAACATAAATAATAAAATTTTCTTAAATTTCTAAATAGCAAAAGGCACCAGTTAAGCATGTACCTGATAGACCTGCAAAGTTTGAAGAAAAAATATTGAACGGTTTATGAGTTATGCTCTGGAAACGAACCCTACCCTCACAGAACCTAAGTCCATCTTGTTGCCATGGAAACGAAAAAAATAAAAAATTCTAAAACTTCTATATAGCAAAAGGCACCAGTTCAGCATGTACTTGACAGAACTGCAAAGTATCATGAAAAAATATTGAACAGTTTCTGAGTTATGCTCCAGAAACCAACGTTACGGACGGACGGACGGAGCCCGTTTCTATATCCCCCGCCAACTTTGTTGGGCGGGGGATAGTAAGCCATGTCTAAATCAGCAATAAAACATAAATTATGAAGAATTAAGTTACTATGTATGGTAAGAATTAAGAAGATGCATTTATAAACAAATTCCTATTGATGAATTGTCAAATAAGTGTATAAACGTGACTTACCATTACTTCAGACCTCACAAACACTCCTCACAAGAGTTCAACATGCACACTGCACAAACCACATGGTGCTTTGACCATACCAATCAGGAGTTATCTCCCTTCTTATTAAGGGTGATATAAAATTGGCACTTGATCAAAAATGAAACAAGACCATGAAATAGAAACAAACATTTTAACCACAACAATTATTGTACTATTGTATAGTACTGTTGTAATATGAAAAAGACAAGTTGTGGACACATTATAAATCAGATTTTATACCTCCTTAACCAACTGAGGAAATGGAAATAAACATTTTGACCATTACATTGATTGAGTAAGATTTTACGCCCCTTTTAGCAATATTCCAGTAAATTTGGGGGCTTCACACATTGTATATATGTGGGGAATTGAACCCAGGCCTTCAGAATGACTAGCAAACGGTTTAACCACTACGCTACCCATTGCCCCTTTGACCATTACATACACAATGAGACTTTAAAGGAGCACTGTCAGAAATTTCTAATGTGAGATTGATATTTCATAATGGACCTTGATAGTGACAATAGTGTGTCTTAACTGGACTGTTTGTTTGTTGTTTAACGCCACACTCAGCAATATTCCAGTCTGTAAATAATCGAGTTGCGACCAGACAATCCAGTGATTTATATCATGAGCATCGATGCACACAATTGTGATCGATGACATGCATGAACCATGTCAGCAAGTCTGACCACCTGATCCCACTTAGTTGCTTCTTACGACAGGCATAGTAAGGCAAGCGTGGGTTGGCAAGCGTTGTTTGCTGAAGACCTATTCTACCCCGCATCTTCAACGTAATTAACATTAGGCCTGATGAAAGGAACACTTAAACTATGAACACTTAATGTACTAAATGTACCTACCTGCACAAGTACCACAACTTCTACAAGGCGGTCGAGGGTAGCGAGGCAAAACCAGGGTTGTCGATCATCCACAGCCTACACCAGACTTCAGATCAGCACTGGATGTGAATGCTTCTGTTTCTTCTGCTTGAGTGTACATATAACTCCCCAGTCAATATCAGGCTTGCTAAAAGAGAGTTGAGACAATATTGAATGGTGAATCATTAAAGACATAACAGCCAGGAGACAGGTGTTGATGGCTAAAAAATCATATTCTAAAAGTTATGTTTCTGAAAACAAAATTAAAACACAAACTTGCATCATCCATACATAAAAAGTCCCCTAACAGATAGAAATCGTGTTATTATTGGTATGCTTCATTTATTACACTAAATAGGATCTGTTTGTTTAATGGAGGAATGTTGTTTCAAGTCAGTCAGGAATATTCCAACTCTACATGTAGGCCTGCAAGTAACTCTGGCACAGGCCAACCAATGGGTGATGGCATGAGCTACAATCAGCCAGGGACTTAACATATATTACTTGTTTCAAAGGGCTCATTAACTGTTTACCTGAGTGAGTGGGGTTTTACACCGCTTTTAGCAATATACCAGCAATATCAAGGCAGGGGACACCAGAAATGGGCTTCACACATTGTACCCATGTTGCGAATCAAACCAGGGTCTTCGGTGTGACAAGCAAATGCTTTAACCACCAGGCTACCGGACTGCCCCACATTTGACCTAAAGCTACATGAACAACCCTGAAGAAACCCTTAAACCAAATCCAACTTGTTTGTCTCTGTTGTTTAGTGGTCTACCGTCCACCCGGAGAATGGAAGGTCAGGCGTTCGATCACCGGCCACGTCTTACCTAAAGACATTAAAATATGGTACTTGTTGTTACCCTGCCTGGCACTCAGCATTAGGGCCTAATGTAAAGATTTAGATGTGATGCATGCAAATCCTTGTAAACAAATTGTGTGTATTACTTCGATCAATATATTAAATGTTAAATAGTGTTTTTTAATCTTATGTTTTATTTATTCAGATTCATGAGTATGGTGTTGCCATAACTTTTTTGTTTGTTTGTTGTTTAATGCCACCCTCAGCAATATTCCAGCTATATGACGACGGTCTGTAAGTAATGGAGTCAGGACCAGACAATCCAGTGACTGACATCATGAACATCGAGCCACAAAATTGGGGTATGATGACAAGTCAGCGAGCCTGACCATTCTATCCCGTTATTTGCCTCTTATGACAAGCTTTTACGGCAAGCGTGGGTTGCGGAAGACCTATTCTAAACCAGATCTTCATGGGTCTGTTGCCATAAGTGTAGCAGAGGGGAGTCATTCAATGCATTGGTCATAGTTGTCGAAGACTTAAGATATAATCTAACTGTTATGATCACATTAAATGTAATATTATATATAATTAATTTTTGTCTTAAAGTATTGCATATGTTTACACAGAATGTATTGGCATTATGTATTTATTTGTGTGTATACCATGTAACCAATATAAAAGTCAAGGAGTTATCTCCCTTGGATGCCAGTATTGGTTGGTTGGTTTGTTGTTAAACGCCGCACTCAGCAATATTCCAGCTATATGACGGCAGTCTCTAAATAATCGAGTCTGGACCAGACAATCCAGTGATTAATATCATGAGCATCGATCCACGCAATTGGGATCGATGATATGCATCAACCAAGTCAGCGAGTCTGACCACCCAATCCTGTTAGTCACCTTTTACGGCAAGCATGTGTTGCTGAAGACCTATTCTACCCCGGAATCTTCACGGGTTGTCAGTATTGTGTGGCATGTTTATGTGTGGCATGTTTATTACTGTATATGCTCTAGTAGAAGCGTTTAGCACACAGTCTGAAGACTGACATGTAATACCTATTTGTGATAATCTAATTTGTGTAAGCCTGTCTGCAACAAATTTGTTTAAGTGAGAGGTTAGGCGCTCTACCACCAAAAAATCATGAGTTACTTCCCTTTGACTGTAAACCCAGTGAATCTGGGTGCATAACCGAGCGTATTAATTAACCAATCGCCATGCTGTCTCACGGTCATGTGATAACCTTAACTTGTGCGGGTCGATATCTCGTTCTTTTCACAGCGACCAGCCAGCAGTAAACACTATCTCATTACAGCAAGTTTGTCCCGCCCACCACGCCCAATAATAGGTCAACTTATTGTGAATTCCACATTTATTGGTTACATTCCACAGTACCACACTGATCTTGATATAACATTGGTATGCTTTAATTTTTTCTTTATGCCATGAATATTCATTGAACATAAAGTACTTGGTCATTTGAAACCACAAGTGCTATTTATTTCACATGCTACAATAATCATTATGCATAATCCTTACAGTTTTATTCAGCAAATGTTCATAAAACAGTATTAGGTGTAGTCACTTGATGTATGAATTTTGCATCAGCATAATTTTAACGCATTATTTCATTATATATTATACATGTGTCATGACATGTGACATGGTTCTGTCTCCTTATTATCTTTGTTTCAGTATGTGCCATACCATTGAGACTTGAATTGGTGCAGCTAAAGGATTGCCTGGCAAAGGTCATGGCAGGTGTACCAAATATGTGACATAATGGTTTGTCACCACAGGACTATTTGAACCTCACGTTGTGTGTAACCACGGATGGTAAAGTATTTAGCAAGTTAACTTTGTGTTTGTGATAAGTGTACAAGCTGTACCCTTGTGTAGTACCCTGTATGTTTCTGAATTGCCCATCCTTGTAAGGTCGGTGTTCAGTATTAAAACCTGTCGTGACTTCCGCCATGTAATAAAGCTGTGCCCATATTTTCCCATTCAATTGCCGTTATGCTATCCTTGGCATTCACACTTAATTGAGTGAGTGTGTTGGGTTTAATGCCGCTTTTAACAGTATTCGCGTTATATCGCGGCGTGTCAGCTTAATGTGGGAGGAAAGCCCAAACTGATGCAGGTCTCAGACGTTTACCACTTCGGTGAAACCCAAGAGCCCGGGTATGGTGCTGAGAAACCTAGAAACATAATCGGGGCGAACCAGGATTGAACCCACATTCATAGGTTTCTGGCGTGCCCAAGGGACGCAACTCTCCACAGCGAATCGCGGCGCCTTGGCCATCCGTGCCCCCCTATTTGTGATAAGCCTATGCTATATATGTGTATGTGGAATTTATTTATTATGTCGATATATGTTTCAGGGTGTCTAAGATCTTTGTTTTGTTTAGTTTGTTTGTTGATGTACGCCGCACTCAGCAATATTCCAGCTATATGACAGCGGTCTGTAAATAATCGAGTCTGGGCCAGATAATCCAGTAATTGATATCATGAGCATCGATCCACGCAATTGGGATACGATGACCTGCATCAAACAAGTCAGGGAGCCTAACCACCCGATCCAGATAGTCGCCTTCTTAGATCTTTGATTTCCTTTAAAAATTGGCATGGCTTTAAAGACAAGAACCTGGTAGCATGTGTTTGTTCACTCTGAGACAAGACATCCACTAAACTGCTACATTTCCATGCAATTTGACATAAATATGTGTATCGTATTGTGACCTTGCTGTATCGTTTCACCCCAACTGGCTTGTTCTCGTAAGAAATAATCACCATATCTGAAGAAGTAATAAGTATTAAAGTGTTTTATAATAAAATAAGCACATTGTTTTTATTATATTTTAATTTTCATGCAGCAGTCTACTTCTGATTTTTGGGGGGTAATTACATGTTTTCACAATTTCCTTTATAATTAATTAACTTTCAGGATTTGTTTCAAGCTTTTTACTTTCATCACGTTCTTTTGTTTTTCTTTTAGTTATGCTTATTTGTATTGAGATAGTATGTCCTTTTTTTCATTTTGCACATGAACAATAGGGCTGTACAGGAACATATCACTCATAAACACACCCAAACAATTAAATTAATCCTGATATCTCTCCCGGGTCAGAACTAAATTTGAGTGGAACAAAAATATGCCTACAAACCTACTGTCCAAACATGATATTTACAAACTATTGTCACTGGCCACTCCAAATACATTCAAATTATATGATGCGTAATTGCTCAATTTAGCATGCCGTTTAAACCAAATGATACTTTGGAAGGAAGCCATTTTAACAAACTTTTGGTTGACAATTAGGCAAATTGTCAGAACAACAAATTCACACTGACACATTTATGGCGTTTCTATTGACACAAAATGTTGTTCATTCACAATTAAAGGTCAAGATAGCATTGGGCATTGCTCCTTTGATTCCTGAGAACAGAGACCATAGAGAGGGGAGGGGATGTTTTGTCAAAATAGGTCTTACCTCGGTCGCACCAAATTGGCCTAGCGCCTGTGGTGCTGTCGAATGCATGTCTTGTTAGGTCCGTGTCTACAGCTTAATTGTACGTGCACAAAAGCTTCAATGGTATTACTATTTCGATATTACCTTAGGTATCCACTGGTTGAAGACAGAAGTTGGTTGTGAATGCCGTCAGCTGTTAGCTCCAAGCTTTAGTTCTTCGTCCAGTGGGCGAAGAGACGAAAATGTGTACGTGCTGCTTGACATGGACGAAAGCATGGTCCCGTCTCTACTTAATTTGGAGCGCAACAATGGCGTGGAACTAGTTGTCATTCAGTCCAGAATCAACGTGAGGGGTTTATTAAAACCAGTACCTTGGCCTAGTTGCGGCACACGCATAAGGAGCCCAGTCCAGTTGAAACCTCCCAACTTTTTTTTTGTGTTCATTGCCGGATGGGTCCGATCATGCATTTTTAAAAGGGAGGGGTCAAATTATCCCACATACTACATTTGCTTTTAAAAAAGAGGAGAGATCAGGGCGGGGCAGGGCGGGGGTGTATCTGTCAAGACCTGTTGACTGACTATTAGTTCCATGTAATTTAATACGGTATATTTACATAATAACAAAATAAATTCCAAATGAGTCCAGATCAAATCATTCTAGACTTGAGTTGGACTCCTATTTTAATTATCAAGTCAGCAAGCCTTACCACACGATCGCGTTTGCCAGCAAGCCTTACTACGGAAGCGTAGTAGGGCCACAGTGAATTTTTGATTTTGTCTAAGTATCTCCTACGTAAGACTTAGTATGGCCTAGAATCACTATCTCCTACGTAGGACTTACTATCTCCTACTTAAGACTTAGTATCTCCTACGTAGGACTTACTATCTCCTACGTAGGACTTAGTATCTCTTACGTAGGACTCAGTATGGCCCAGAATCTCTATCTACTACGTAGGACTTAATATATCCTACATAAGACTTAGTATCTCCTACGTAGGATTTAGTATTTCTTACGTAGGACTTAGTATGGCCTAGAATCACTATCTCTTCTGAAGGAGATAGTAAGTCCTACCTAGGAGATAACAAGTCTTACGTAGGAGATACTAAGACAAAAAAAATATTTCACCGTGTCTCTACTACGCTTCCGTACCTTACCACCCGATCCCGTTCGTCGCCTCTTTAAATACGACAAGCATTGTAATCTCTTCACGGATCGGAGTGAAGAATCATCAGCTTCCAGTGTCAAGCAATTCAAGCGTTGCAAGGGCGGTGCCTAAAGTTCACGGCAGTGTTTTAGTTTAACATTGTAGACTAATTATTATTTGGTCAGGCTTCCAACTGTTTGTTTAATGCCCGCCGCCGCACTCAGCAATATTTTGGTGTATATAATTGATCTCTTTGGATGCCTTAACGCATTTGTTTGTTTGTTTGTTTGTACTTAAACGAAGAAATATTCCAGCTATATGACGGCAGTCTGTAAATAATCAAGTCTGGACCAGTCAGTCCAGTGATTGATACCATGAGCATCGATCTACGCAAATTGGATACGATGACCTGCATCAACCAAGTCACTGAGCCTGACCACCCGATCCCGTTAGTCACCTTTTACAGCAAGCATGGGTTATTTGTCGCCAAATGTATTTAACATCAGTATATTTTTTTCTTCCAAGACTCTTATTTCCTTTTACGTACGCTTCTTCTCGCACTCTTATTGCTGGTTGTCTTACCAGTAGTATCTCGTGTACATACCTGGGGTGTGACGTGGACACTTTCGGATGTCACATTCTGCCACACCACATTCGAAGAGAGACGTTCCTCCCTCGCCTGAACATCACTAAATATTGATGCCTTGTGTTTCTTTTACAGGTATGCAATATTCCAGCTATATGACGGCGGTCTGTAAATAATCGAGTATGGACCAGACAATCGAGTGATTGATATCATGAGCATGGATCCACGCAATTGGGATCGATGACCATGCATCAAACCAAGTCAGCGAGCCTGACCACCCGATCCCGTTAGTCGCCTTTTACGACATGCATAGTCGCCTTTTACGGCAAGCATGGGTTGCTGAACACCTATTCTGGGCCGGGTAACGCGACCGTAGTATCTAAATCATGTAATTGATTGTGAATATTATACTCTACCACATAGCATCGCGTTGTACGAGGTTACTAATTGAAACACTAAGGTAAAGCACCATCCCGTAAGTAAGAAGAGTGAGTGAAGAGAATGGTCAAGTTTCATGTATGTCATTTTTGTTTTTTATTATTATATACTTTTTAAATGTTGTGACGTCACGCCTTGTGTGTGGTGCCAAAAGCATTCGTTGTGAAACTAATCAAAATAAAGTAACAGCTATAGAAAACTATTCTATTTTATGTAACAATGTTAAAATATTGTATAAATGCACTATATTCCGAAATAATTGTTATTTGATGAATATTTGTAAGACATGTGACTGTCCCACCACATTCGAGGAGTGCCGTTCTTCCACTCTCGTCTTGGCATCATTTAATATTGGTGACTTGTATATATTCTCCAGACATTAAACCGCTTTACGCCTTCATCGGCGCCTCAGTCCACATCATTACATCGCCGCCCCGTGAAGATCCGGGGTAGAATAGGTCTTCAGCAACCCATGCTTGCCGTAAACAGGTAAAAGGCGACTATGCTTGTCGTAAAAGGCGACTAACGGGATCGGGTGGTCAGGCTCGCTGACTTGGTTTGATGCATGTGATCGATCCAAATTGCGTGGATCGATGTTCATGATGTCAATCACTGCATTGTCTGGTCCAGACTCGATTATTTACAGACCGCCGTCATATAGATGGAATATTGCTGAGTGCGGCGTAAAACAACCAACCAACCATCGGACGGGCAAAGTGGGCCCACATTCGAAACTAAGGAACTCGGTAAAGTCTTTAAATTGAATATATCTGCCAAATTGATTACTTAATAACTCAATCTAAGAGTCACTCATTCACTCAAAATGCATGAAATAGTATCAATAAAGTAAAACAATAGCAACCGACACGAACACTTGCCCCGCGAAACTAGGCCGTGGGCTCATTAATATTCATGAGGGTATTCATTTTGTGGAACAGTTCCCACGCTATCTGTGACGTCATTGGTTGAGATTGTGACGTCATAGATAGGGGTCATATGCTTATCGCTACGTCTGCCGATTTTTTACTACGGAGAGTTCTATGGCAATATAATCAGCCCGTAATTATGGGATATTTAAGACATTCGAGAATGTTGCGTTAATTTAACGTGTATCAAGAGTCTTCGTGTTTGTAATTCCGAGTTCTGGTTAAAGAGGAGTTACCCTATCTTCAAGAGCAGGGACAGATTCTGTAATTTTTGTGGATGTTGAGTGAGACGATCTCTATTTCCGTCGGAGACATTCGGTTTCCCTCGGAAGTGCTCGGGCAGCCGATGCCGAGGAGGGTTTCCAGTAATATTAAAGCATCCCTCCCAGCGATGACGGACGTCTTCGGATGTGCCAGAGCGGCTAAAAAATAAGGTGTTCCTCGAACAACGACGGACGTCTCCGGATGTGCCTGAGCAGAAATGATGGGGGAGGACCTTCAGCAATGACGGACGTCCTCGGATGTACCCGAGCTTAGAAAACAGGGAGGAGTGTTGTGTGAGACGATCACTACTTCCGTCGGAGACATTCGGTTTCCTTCGGAAGTGTTCGGGCAGCCGAGGCCGAGCGCTGCCGGAAAAGGGATCGTCTGCAACGAAGCTTCGAGAAAGGTAAAATCCCTAGTTCTGAGCTAACAGTCGCGGGCCGCATTTTAAGATAACACTACGCGGATCGTGCCGGGCGATCATATATTTAATTGGCGGAACCATCAGAGCAGTTAATCACCATATTGTTCGCGGAAGTAAAATCACTACATTGATTTACATCTCAAGAAAACTGTGCCCCTATTGAAGATTTTCAGGAAGATGAGGTAAATGACCACTTATATTCATATGGATTTAAACCACTCTTTCCTGAACATGATTTGGATGTTCTGTGCTACTACAAATACCAACTACGGCAAAAGACCTTCAACAAAAGGAGATATAAAAGAAATACTTTGAATGCTGTTTCTTATATGAACAGACTGAATTTGAAATTCTATAACCATCAGACATTTAGATATCCACCTGAGAACACATTTGAATTTACTATCCGGACACTTTTAACCAAATATCTGAGTGGATTTCGGGAAAAGTATAATGAACTTGGTGTTTGTTTCTGTGTGTGTTATTCATAATAATGTTTGTGTCAGGTCATTTGAATGAACTGAGTCGCGTTGTTCAGGGTTTGCCTGCCAAGGAAGGAAGAATAAAACAGTTGTTGTTCTTGTGGTAAAAAAAACCCCAATCTTACATTCATATTGCTATATTTACCCACACCAATATTGTGAAAAATCTTGCTTCCAATTGGAACTCGACCCGTGAAGATCCGGGGTAGAATAGGTCTCCAGCAACCCATGCTTGCCGTAAGAGGCGACTATGCTTGTCGTAAAAGGCGACTAACGGGATCGGGTGGTCAGGCTCGCTGACCTGGTTTGATGCATGTCATCGATCCCAATTGCGTGGATCGATGCTCATGATGCCAATCACTGCATTGTCTGGTCCAGACTCGATTATTTACAGACCGCCGTCATATAGATGGAATATTGCTGAGTGCGGCGTAAAACAACCAACCAACCATCGGACGGGCAAAGTGGGCCCACATTCGAAACTAAGGAACTCGGTATAGTCTTTAAATTGAATATATCTGCCAAATTGATTACTTAATAACTCAATCTAAGAGTCACTCATTCACTCAAAATGCATGAAATAGTATCAATAAAGAAAAACAATAGCAACCGACACGAACACTTGCCCCGCGAAACTAGGCCGTGGGCTCATTAATATTCATGAGGGTATTCATTTTGTGGAACAGTTCCCACGCTATCTGTGACGTCATTGGTTGAGATTGTGACGTCATAGATAGGGGTCATATGCTTATCGCTACGTCTGCCGATTTTTTACTACGGAGAGTTCTATGGCAATATAATCAGCCCGTAATTATGGGATATTTAAGACATTCGAGAATGTTGCGTTAATTTAACGTGTATCAAGAGTCTTCGTGTTTGTAATTCCGAGTTCTGGTTAAAGAGGAGTTACCCTATCTTCAAGAGCAGGGACAGATTCTGTAATTTTTGTGGATGTTGAGTGAGACGATCTCTACTTCCGTCGGAGACATTCGGTTTCCCTCGGAAGTGCTCGGGCAGCCGAGGCCGAGGAGGGTTTCCAGTAATATTAAAGCATCCCTCCCAGCGATGACGGACGTCTTCGGATGTGCCAGAGCGGCTAAAAAATAAGGTGTTCCTCGAACAACGACGGACGTCTCCGG